TTGATTGGTTAATTATCACAGGCAATCATGGGTAGATCGGCAAAAATTAACCAATCATATGAATGTCTTCCTATGAAGTTACAACTCTTACACTTGTAAATTTTTCTACCGCCGATGTTTTGCACGTTACCACACCACGAGCAAGTTTTTGAGGTGTAGGCCTCATCCTGGATGATGATTTTGGCACCGGCTTTGAATTTCAGCCTCTGTCTGAACATGTAATGTGACCACGTCAACATGCTTCTAACGACCTTGGATTTTTACCATGTTTTTCACACCGAATTCAGGAATCATGACCACATCATATTCTTTCACAAGAAGGTTTATGGTCTTTCTGTGGAGTTCGTTTCTCTGATTCTTGATCCTTCGAAATATTCTTGCAATTGCTTTATCGATCCTCTTGGCCTTTTTCTTTTTTCTTTTGGATGTTGAGTTGTTTAGTCTGTCCCTCTTGGAGCTTAGTTTGTCAGCGTGGTATCCCAATCTTATCAACCTTTGCGAATCGGTTTTTCCAATCGCTGACACCCTTGGTTGGTGAATATAACACAAATGGTGTTCTCACACCGGGGTCAATCGCTACAAAATTTTCATAGGATTCTTTAGCTTTTATCGATCTTTCATGTGTCCATGATAAGAACCATTCGTTTGTTTTACAATAATACGTTAGTTTACAGTCTTGTTCAAATGTTAAAGGCCATTTACTGTTATTTCTTTTGGTTTCGAAATGACCGGATCGTAAATCTCTCTTTCCCGAGATCAGTTCGTTCAGTTTATTTCTATTCGATATCATATTTTTGTTGAATAAATATCTCACGTAAAATCTTCTATGATCTTTTTTTGAAAAATTTTGTACGCATATACTAATAGTATGTTTCAGATCTTTCTTTGATTTGTATGATAATGTGAGTCTTTTTCTTTAGCATTGTAATTTTTGATTGCTTCATCAACGGTCTCATCGATAATATTATTGGGAACTTCATCGTAAACTTTTTTACTTCTTAGTTTCAAGTACGCTATGGTTCTTAGATATTGTGTTTTTGGGAAACTTATGAATCTTTTAGATTTTTTGATAACATATTGCCTTTCTTGGAGGTACCCAATGATCGTGTTATAGATCAATCTCATCAATCCTATCCATCGTTTCAGCAATTGTTTTTGTGCGTGATTCAATACAATTTCACGTTCAATGTCCGATTCACACTTTTGTTCATCTTTCTTTTTTTGCCTTTTCTCATCATTTTTTTTCTTTCCCTTCTATACTTGGCCACTCTTCTTTCTTGCATCTTACATATGAAGACAGGGTTGCTGACAAGGATATCCTCAGCCAACTCATGTTCATCGGTCATCGAATTGCTGAAGAGAACCACGAGTTTTGTAGTGAAGACGTGTTTGAAAAGGTCATATGCGAATCTACACAATCGATCTTAGTGGGTAACCACAATTTCTCCAACAAGACCTTTGCATGATCGTTCCAATAAGGTTTGCAAACCTTTGCACTTGAAGTTGATTCCAGATCCAATGTCACTAATGAGTTCGTAGGTTGTATACTTTTCAAACAAGATTTCCTTTTGTCATTCGAGATCTTGTTTTTGGCTAGAGACCTGCGCGTACAGATAATCTTTTTTGGTGGTGATAGTGGTGATGGAATCATCAGGAAAGAATTTTAACATGGTGTATAACCTGGTTCCTGTTGCTGATGTCTTGAATTCGATCTTTTCCTGTTTGGACCAGCAACACAATATATGTGATGATATTCCAAGTTTTTTTGTTGCTTTATAAGCAGACAGAAACATTTTTTAACTAACAAAGATAAAATTCAAACCTTTTTATACATGTTTTATTTAAAAAGCATTACTAATCAAATAATTAATAAGTATTAATGATTTTATAATTATGTAATTTTTAAATAATAATGCATATTAAACAATTGTGTTGCATTAATAATTAAATAATTGTAACAGTAATTTTGCAGAAGCTCTGTTATCTATGGTTAGTAACAGAGACACGAAAAATTTTCTTGCTTTTTTTGTAGAGTTCTCGCTGCAGGCACAACTCAATCAGAATGGTGAAACGAAAATTTTATCACAGAACAATTTATTTTATTAGTATGGTTTTTTTTTTCTTTCTCAATATCAGTACAAAGTTTCTGGATTTTTGTATATTCTTTGCTACTCCCATAGTTAACATCAGTAGGCCCCCGAATAATCCTATATGAGCTTATATTTGGCTATCATAGTAAATTTTTTTTGTTAGTGCTTTTATATTGATATATATAATCTATATTTTAAATATTAGATCCGAATTTTAGTCTTCATTATCTTTTTTTAAAATATATGATGTTCTCTAAAAAAAAAAAACCGGAAATGTGTTCTCTAAAAAAAAAAAAAAAAACCAAAGTGTGTTCTCTAAGAAAAAAAAAATTTTTTCTAATATAATACTTATTCTATTAGCATAATTTTAAATATATCCTATTTAGTGATTATCTGTTTCAAATATAACCTTTTTACCCAATACCTACTTTTCAAATATAACCTTTTTTTTAAAAAAGGGCCCATATTATCAATATTTCAAATATGACCTTTATATAGATTATTAGGGATCCTACATCGGTATATTCCTTAGTTTTTTATTAACCCCCTTCGTCAGTGCCTAACTCTAGGTCAGATTGAGTTTTTCTTGAGTATCATATTTTCGCGTAATAACGCTTATGGGCGTTATTTCGAAAATTGTATTACTCGAAATTAACATGCATGGCTTCGCACATGTTTGAATAAAGTAAATTAATCAAACACAAAATGTCGGCTTTAGCTCAAAATAACGCACATGCGCGTACTCGAAATACCGCACATATACTCAAAATAACGCACAGATGAGCATTATCACTAAAGGTGCAGATGAAACTTCAGTAACTTGTCGTAACTATCTCTTTTAATTATAATGAGTTACGGCATTTGTGCTGTAACTTTATTATGTTATGACAAGCTATGGAGTTTCCCCTGCACCTCTAGTTATCACGCGAAAACACGGTAATTTATTCATTCATGTTACGTTCTTATTGGGTAAAACTCCGGGTTATCATCTCCACGTGGTGACTGGGACAAGTTAATTTCCTTTTAAGTTGAAACCAAGTATCCCTGTGTAGGGAAATAGAAAATCGCTACCAAGTGACTCATATAACCTTCACATAGTGCAAATTTTTTCTGAACCAAATTAAAGAGAGCAGTGTAATAGTAGAATCGGGTATATTAGTAAATAGAATTTATACTGTATGTTGTATGAAAAAAATTTGCGAAAAAAATTCGAAATATAAGATCTAATTATTGTACATAACCTATTCGAAGTAGAGTTTGGAGCTGGTTTTATTTTTCATATGTTAAAAACCGATTTTAACATGAGAAATAAAGCTGGTTCCAAACTCTGTTTCAAAGTATTTTATATCTCGCGTCGCGTTACAGTATCAGCATGATAGAAGTGTTTAAGTGGTTTTCAATCTGCTGAAAGTATGAACAAATAACCATGAATTCTTTTACAGAAACGGCATAAATGCAGCAAGGATGAAGGCGTTAGTGCGATATTTGAAAGTGGCAATTTAATATTGAATTCTCTTAGGGTTATTTCAAGTACGCCATGCGCGTTAATTCGAGCTAAAAGGTTAATTTCAAACCCTATTGCTACTACTGTACTATATCTATAACCCGTTGATATGTTGCACATTATTTCAGGACGCGCATAGGCGTGATTTTCAAAATAACGCCTATGTCCCTTATTTCGAGAATTTACAGCAAAACAAAAATTATCTAATTCAAAACTTTATGAAAAATTTTTTTCTAAGTAAATTTATCCATTTTGTCCATACCAGCTACATATCTAACACTAACTCTACCTATTTATAGACAAAAATTACATTAATAATTTGTTATATGCTTTTGTTAAATTACTGTATACGTGATTTAATAATTATTATTCAGCTTTTCTTTTAACCATGAACGGTATGATTTGTCGATAATTAAAGTAGAATAAAAATATAGTAAACATTCCTGCACTAAAAATAACATTTAAGACAACATAAATATCAGGATATCTTTTCGGTGGTGGAATATTAAACTCCAAAATATGAATAGATGCCATTACAAAATATGATAGCTGTGAGATAGATAAAATAATTGAGAATGATTAGTAAAAACACAACTGTGTAAATAACGTTAATAGATGACGAAAACTCACCCACGATAAATATTTTAATATTATAGGTTTGGTATCTTGTTTAATAAAAGAACCAATCCAATTCCACATAAGCCATACAGTAAAATATGGCAAAACTAATTTATCCTTTTTCAATAGCGGAAACATACTAATACATAATAAATATTTATCATACTTATTAGTGTCATTAATATTAACACACTTAGTTATCAGAAAATGATATTATACCTGAACATTGCAACATTTATAAACCAAGAACACCAAAAAGTATCATCTAAAATTAATAGACAAATAGGCAACACAGGTAACAAAATAGATTTTTCATGGACTTGAAACGAAAACATGAAAAAAGCTAGTGATGAATTTGCTAAACCATAAATAAGGTAACGTTTATCAGGATTTAATCCGAGATAAACGCATGATGGTAAAATAGCCAATACGGTGGTAATTAAGCTAAATTTGCACGATAAACACTATAAATATTGAGCTATAACGAAAGCTAAATGATCATTTATCACGATATAATGATATATTACCTAATTTTAGCCAATATATTAGTATCAAAAATTTCTCTCAACTTGATAATTACATTAATTGCGCACCAAATATTCGCGACTTTGTCTTCATATAGCCCACGTTGTAATGGGAATATACGAATAATGACTTGTGAAATTTGTTCTAAAGATCCTAGGAAAGGATAAAATACTATTCCAAAAGTAACAATTACTGTAATGCCCAACTTCATAATCCTACACACATATAAACTATATATTAAAATTGATTCAATAAATTTTGGCAAACAATAATAATACAATATTAGTAGTTACCCTCGTACATCATTCTTTATGCACTTCCCTAACAAATATGAAAAAATTGGGAGACCATAGTAGAGTGCCATCTGTTTAAAACTCAAGGAAAGACAAAAGAATACACTTCCTAGAACATCATAGTCATAGAAAAAACAATTGACCGCCCACAGAGTTAAACCAAGCATTACAGAATTGTATCTAATGTAAATATACAAAAAGTGTAATGAACAGCCTTTGTTGAGAATAAAATATTATAATAATGGCAATTTATACATACTGGAAATGACCATTATCTATTAGTATAAGGGCAGGTTGCAAAAGAATCAACAATACTGCCAATTCCTAATAAAGTATCGGTTTAGGCAAAGCAATCGTAACAATAAATAACTAAATTTCGACTATTTGGGTACGTACCCGCTTTTTCCATGAATTACCAGCAAACCACCAATTGACAAACATTAAAACCGCTGGTACATAAATCAAAAATTCACAAACTAAGACTGTAGATCTCATGAACAATTTACTTTCATCACTCTCATAACCACGTGAACTATCCAAGGCAAACCAAGTTGGATCAAGTATAGAACCTCTAGAAAGTTTTTTAAAGAAAAAGATAAACCCAAAAGAAAAATTATAAAATTGAATTCAACCAATCATACATTTTACCACAAATCCAGCTCACATATGCTGTCAATGGAGGATAATCAAGACCCCACCAATCTAAATCGTAGTAATACCATTGATTAATTGGAACATGTAACGTAAGTTCCATCCAATGTCTTTGCGCTTCATAATCACCGTACATCGTTGGAGTGTTATAACCTGAGATAATCGTCAGTCGACATAATGTCGAATTTGTTCATTTATAAAGTGTTTTTTACAAGGCAACTATTTTAATGCAACAATTTAAACTTGCCAGAATAAGGATTCAAGCCTACAGCCCATCTAACGTAAAGCGCGAAAATTAAAGTTATGAAAGTGGACCAGCTTTCTATTTTTAAATCGCTCACCCAACTTAACCATCTTCTCGCTGGTGAATCTATAATAGATTCCTCATTTGATATTATATTTTTATGACTATTTTCTAAAGTCTTTTGATAATTCATATTTAAACCGTCTAATGTGTACAATTGGGAGAGAAAAAAAAAATAGTTTAAAGTTAAACGTTAGGAATAGGAAGACATTTATAATTGATGTCGATCTACACATGATTATTGACCAATTAAAAACTACCCCTAGGCAGGGCCCTAGAAAATTTCGAAAAGATTTTCGCATTATAAAACAATATTTCATGCATGTTAGGTTACACAATAAAATCCGCAAATTTAATTAGTTAATTATTTTTGTCCACCAATTACGTTTGCGTATTTGTGTGTAACTTCACGTGCAAAAAGAAGTAGTATTTTTTGTGTATACGTAAAAATTTAATCATATAACAGATAAGATTTTGAAAGAATTATATTTAAGTAAAAATTCGGAAAGTTTGTAAAATAATAGTTAAGACATTCATAAATATTAAGTTTAAACCTTAATAATAAAGATCTTATCTTATTTTTGTATCTTGTACATTAACTTATTAGAAGTCTTCTGAGTGCGTAGTTAGATGTAATTTAAATTAATACATAGTTACGATTATACATGGGTGTCTAAATTATTTTTTTAAAAAAGCAATTTCGACAAATATTTCGACATTGCTATTTTTTTTATATGAACTCCATAAAGTAACAATACTACTTAATGTATTTTGACATAAAAAATTCAATTAATTTCACTAAAAATTTTGACAACTATGAAATTTGATTTCGCCTCTAAGAAAAATTAATTTTAAATGTCAAAATTATTTTTATTAAGAGATGTAATTTAGACACCCATGTATAGTCATGATATAAATATCTATATGGTATAAATTAAATAGCAACTCTGAGAATTGCTTTTTAGATTTCACCTCGATCAATACAATATACATAGTTATGTTTGATCAGCAAAAATGACACTAAATTTGATATCACAATAAAAAACAATATTTGGTTGTTATCAACCCAATTTTTCCAAAATGATATCGAAATTTTCTAGGGGCCCTGCCCCTAGGTCACCAAATTTTCACCTGCACGTGATTTAAAACCAATCACATTTCAAGATCAGGGTAACGATAATATTACAGAAGACAACAAATCATAAAAATAAAGCTAATTGAAAAATTATTGATCAATGTAAAAAAACTCTTTATAAGCATAGCTTACTATTATTCTTATTGAATTAATTATAATAACAAATACAGTAGAAGTATCTTATATAGACGTTTGACCTTCTTGAAAAGTCTTAATAATCTCAAATTTTTAAACAATTCAAAAGATGGTAGACTACATACCAAGCAAAAAGCTTTCCAAAAACCTGGTATAAACAAAATAAATATTGATATTTCTGATAAAGTCAGATAAAATTTAGTACAACAGGTACTAGTTAGGAAGAAGTTACTGAACATGCAGGTACAGGGGCGACCGTCCCATCAATTTGTAGATCGTTACACAATTGATAAAGGCTTTTTTTATATTGTTTTACAATA